ATCGAACCCAGAGCTTCATGCATGCTAGGCAAGCATTCTACCATTAAGTTACATTCCCAGCCCTAGTACATTATTTCTTGGTGCCCATTATTCAGAATTGAGTTCACTGGAGGAACAAATGAGTGACATAATCCATCTAGAGGCAAAGATGTCCTGGGGTGTCATCTTTTGCTACCTTAACCCACCCCAAAATGGAGCCAGATCATGAAGTATTCAGTGATGGGATTTTAATGTTTACTTTCACTTGGTAGACAGTAATAGTTTACACCTATAATGCCTACATAGGAAGCTTCAATCTTCAGGATTGGGGTTCAAGGCCAGACCAGATGATCAACAAAAACCCAAACTAGAGGCATGGCTCAAATGGTAAAACACCAGTCCAAAGCAAACCAAACAAACACAAGGCTCAGGGTTCAAACCCCAACACTACAAAAGAATACTTTTATTTGACAGTAGACTTTTAAGACCTAAACTAATTTCTTTAAGGCCTTTCTTGCTAACTGGTGTAGTCATCACTAAACATTCATCAACCTAAACAACAAATTAAGATAAATGTTCCTGTTTGAAACCACTCCCTTAGGTAACATTTCATTTATAATGCCACTAAACAAACCTCTGGTATACAAGACAGAATTTTGCCCAACATAATCCATTTTGTTTTTAATGTGGGGGTTGTGTTTGGGATACTCCATAAGAACTTGCTTAAGCTAACACCCTTGAAAACTCTGTTTCAAGCCAGGTGCTGTAGGCTCATGCCTATCATCCTAGCTACGCAGGAGGCTGAGATCTGAGGATTGCAGTTCCAAGCCATCCTGGGCAGAAGACTTTGGAAGACTCTTATTTCCAATAAGCTACTCAAAAAAGCTGGAAGTGGCACTGTGGCTCAAGTGGTAGAGCACTCATCTTGAGCAAAAAGAAGCTCAGGGGGGCTGGCAATGTGACCTAGTGGTAGAGTGCTTGCCTAGCATGTATGAAGCCCTGGGTTCAATTCTTCAGTACTACATACACAGAAAATGTCAGAAGTGGCACTGTGGCTCAAGTGGTAGGGAGCGCTAGCCTTGAGCTGAAGAGCTCAGGGACAGCGCCTAGCCCCAGAGTTCAAGCCCTACGACTAACAGAAAAAAAGCAGCAGCAGCAGCTCAGGGACAGCACCCAAGCCTAGAGTTCAAGCCCTAGGATTAGCAAAAATCAATCAATCAATCAATCTGCAGCAAGACCCGGTGGCTCCCACCTGTAATCCTAGCTACTCAGGAGGCTGAGATCTGAGGATCACTGTTCAAAGACAGTCTGGGTAGGAAAGTCTGTGAGACTCTAATCTCCAATAAACCATCAGAAAACCAGAAGTGATGCTGTGGTTCAAGTGGTAGAGCAGTGGCCTTAAGCTGAAGAGCTGAGGGACAGCACCCAGGCCCAGAGTTCAAGCCCCACGACTTATGAAAAGAAAGAAAGAAGGAGAAGGAAAGAAAGAAGAAAGGAAAGAAAGAAAGAAAGAAGAAAAAGAGAGAGAGAAAGACAGGGAGGGAGAAAGAAAGGGAGAGAGAGAGAAAGGGAGAGAGAGGAAGGAAGGAAGGAAGGAAGGAAGGAAGGAAGGAAGGAAGGAAGGAAGGAAGGAAGGAAGGAAGAAAGAAAGAAAGGAAGGAAGAAAGAAAGAAATCTGCTTAGTGATGAATCTTTCCTGACATTAGGTAATTACATGTTCTCTCTGAAACAAGAACTAGGGATAAAATGCTTAAAATGGGAATTAACAGCCAAATCATGAAAAGAAAAGCCACATCCTCTTCTTGGTATCTGAAGAGACATATGATTAAGAGTACCAAACAATGAGAGCCAGATGAGGTGGTGCCCACCTGTAATTCCAGCTACATGAGAGGTATTAAGCCAATTATAATCCAGGTTGGTCCAGGCAAAAACACAAGACTCTATCCCCCCCCAAAATAACTAAAGCAGAAAGGGCTAAGTGTATGGGTCAAGTGGTAGAGCCCTTTTCTAGCAAGTGTGAGGCCGTGGCTTTCAAACCTAGGTAGATGAATCAAGCAGCAATTATACCTACCTCGGAATCTAGAACTATCCAGAAATAAAAGTCCAGCCCTGCTATGTGAGCACACACACAAGCGACGGACTGCCTACTCCCTCCCCCAACAGGCATTACCTCCACTACGTTATCAGCTAGCAGGAAGAATTGTTCTTAGTTACCCAGAGAATCTGCATACTTGAGATTACCTTCCAACACCAACCGCCTATACAGACAAAGAATAGAAAATGGGACATCTTTGCTCTTCCAATGAAAACAAGATAAAGCAGAAAAGCCATGGGGCAAGTCTGTCACTGCGGGGTCACATGCTCCTAAACATTACCTTGCCCTCTACAGTTTTAGTGAGGACCTGGGAAATACAGATACAGAAATGCTGGATTCCAGGGTAAGAAGATAATGATGATGGATCTGAGATCAGATCCTTGCAGACTTGCACATTCAGGGTCACACATTCAGGGACTGTTTCATCAAAATTGTCCCTGAAATGTTGTCAAGACTTTACAATACTTCTGCGGTATCCAGCTGCTACAAAAGCTGGCTTTTGAGAGTTGAGCTCATGTAAGAAGTCTGAGTCCACTGGGCATTGTGGTTCACATCTATAATCTCAGCTACTGGAGAGACAAGAAGTGGGAGAATTGTAGGCTGAGGAGAGTCCTGAGAAAAACCATGAAATCCTAACCAAACTAAAGCAAAATGGACAGGGGGCGTGGCTTAAGTGGTAGAGCATGTGCTTAGCAACAGCAAGGCTTCGAGTTCAAACTCCATTAACATGGGGGGGGGGGGGCGGGGAGGAAGAACTGAGTCGAAGAAGTTTGGAGCAGATCTCCTTCCATTGGCTACTGGGCTGGTGACTGGATGACCACATGATCACCTCTCAAACTTCAGATCTCATCTGTGCAATAAGACAACATTGAAACTGCCCTCACACTGTGAGATGTGAGAATGAAATGAATGATTATAACAGAAAATGGAGCATGGGGGCCACCGCTGCAGGTCCTGTGTATCAAGTCCTTTGCCTTCAAGAAAAAGTGACCCAGTAACTCACCAGGTCCTAGTCTTTGTCTGTTTTAAAGGTAAAATATTTACTTAACTGACAGATAATGGTAAAAGAGATTTTTTAAAAAACACAAAACACCATTTGGAAAAGGACCTCTTTTTGCTCAGTCTCTTAACTCTAAAGACAATGTGTTCTAGGTTGTATTTCTAATGCAGCTGACAAAGGCCCACTATGATACGATATGGAAAAATTCATTAGAAATACATCACGTGGGCTGGGAAGGTGGCTCAGTGGTAGAGCGCTTGCCTTGCGTGCATGAGGCCCTGGGTTCGATTCCTCAGCACTACATAAGCAAAAAGAAAAAAAGCCAGAAGTGGCGCTGTGGCTCAAGTGATAGAGCACTAGCCTTGAGCTGAAGAGCTGAGGGACAGTGCCCAGGCCCAGAGTTCAGGCCCCATGACTGGACCCCCCCAAAACAAAACAAAACAAAGAAATACATCACGTTCTCAGGCTGGGAATGTGGCTTAGTAGTAGAGTGCTTGCCTAGCATACATGAAGCTCTGGGTTCAATTCCTCAGTACCATATACAAACAGAAAAGGCTGGAAGTGATGCTACTAGCTACTAGTGGTAGAATACTAGCTTTGAGCAAAAGAAGCTTGAGGGACAGTGCCCAGGTCCTGAGCACAAGCCCCAGGATTGGGATGGGGGGAGAGACCACATTTTCCTTCTATTAACACTATCATAAACTGAACAGCCTCTACTGCAGCTGTGTCCCCAAAGCACCACATAAACCTGTTGCCCAGGTGAAGGGAGCCAGGTGACCTAAAAACCACTTTCGAGATGAAGTAGAGCTGCTCAGAGTGTGATCGGGGACCATCACGGTGGGGGGCCCACCTGGGAATTTGTTAGAAAAGTCAGCCTATGGTACCTTTCCCCAAGCCTCCTGCTTAAGAACCTCACTCCAGAGGCCCAGCTCTCAGTCTTAACAAGCACTCCAAGAATCCTGCTGCAAGCTCAGGTTTCAGAACTATCGGTCTCCAGTGATCTGAGATTGCCAAGCTTCGATTGATTACTCCCAGGAAAATTGCTGGGTACTGATGACTGGTGCCTGTAATCCTCCCTACTCAGGAAGTTGAGAATCTGAGGATCACAGTTCAAACCCAGCCTGGGCAGAAAAAGCATGTGAGACTCTTAATCTTGAAGTAATCACCAATAAGCTGGAAGTGGACTAAATGGTAGAGGGCCTGCCCCAAGTGAAAAAGTTAAGGGATAGTGTCCATCCCCTGAGTTCAAGTCCTAGTACCAGCACAGAACAAACAAAAAACATCCCCAGGAAAGGTATCCAGGGAACATCCAGAACAAAAGGAAGGAAGCCTGCAGGTGCCTCCCCCTTCTAACCAGAACCAGTGAGGGGATGGTTAGCTGTAATTCTCAGTCCTGAGCACTTCGAGGATGAGAGGAGATAGCAAAACACTTCCTGGTTCTGGAAGAGCGGGAGCTATGTAAGAGTTATCTGTGGGTCACCTGGGCACCAGCAGGTCTTAGAAGAGGTGAGAGAAAAACTGAGTGACTGCCTGAGGAGCGGACTTCAGCCAGTTCTGAACCCTGTGACTGGACTCCCTCAATCCCCAACACAATGACCTTAGCTCCTCAACCAGAAAAGACAGTGACTTGGGGGCTAACTTCTAGTTAGTCTTCCCAGACACCGCCCCCCCCCCCCCCCCAATGATCAAGACTAGCCGGGGGCTGAAGCCCTGGGTCGCTCTCTTACGCCTCCTCTCCACTCTCCCTTTAAATAAATCTAAGCTGGCCAGGGGTCATGACCACCCTTACCAGAGACGATCAGGACCCCCAACTTTTGGCCTGCCGAGGGAGTCCAGGCTCCCAAACATTGGTGGCGTCTGTGCGTCACCCTCACGGCGGCTGCGCCACCCTCCAGCCTCAGACGTGGCACCGCGGCCCTTCCATACCTGTAGTAGGACAGCAGGCCATTGCCGAGCACGAACCAGCGGCGCTGGTAACCCTTCAGGTAGTTGGTCCACTTGAGAAGCCAGCCCTTGTAGCTGTCGAGGGGCGGCGAAGACATCAGGACACTGGGGGTCGTGCCAGACACCGGAGCCCCAAGCGCGGTCTTCACCTGTCCAGGTGGCAGGGCCTTGGTCGCCAACCCGGACTCGGGGAGAGGCGCGGGCACAGCCCCCACTCCGGACCTCGGCGGGGACGCCTGCTCCACGGCCTTGCTGCCGGGCCCGCCGGCCCCCAGCCTTGGGCTCGACTCGGACCCCAGACGCGTCCCCGGCGGTTCCGATCCCTGCCCAGCCGCCGGGCCCGGCGCAGACTTCGGTCGGTGCCCGGGCTTCGAGCCGTACACTGACTCGGAAACTGGCTCCCGCACCTGCTCGGGCAGCGGCTCCCGCTGCGGTACCCACACCGGCTGGGGTGGAGGCTTGGGCTCCGATCCGGAGCCGGACGTGTGAGCGCTCATGCCCGGAGCCGCGGTGTGGCAGGACAGGCAGGGGACGACGGTGAACAGCGACGAGAGTCCGCGGGAGCGGCCGCCGCAGCCGGCGCCTCGGCTCGGAGCGACCGCTTTCCCCATAGAGCCCGCCGACCCGAGCGCGGCCAAGCAGGGCGCGGGGGCGGGGCGCGGCTGCGGGCGGGGCCGGGCGCGGGGCGCGGCTTCAGGCGTGGCGGAGAGCAGGCACCCGGGGGGGGGGTGGGGGGGGGGCGCTGTGGTTTGTGGGCGTGGTCTTGGACAGGGGGTGCGAGTGTGGCTTTGTAGGCGTGGTCGGGGCGGGGCTCTGTGTGGGGGCGTGGTCACGGGCGGCTGCGGGTGCTGTTTGTGGGCGTGGCCGGGGCGCGGTGGGCAGGGCAGTCACGTGCTCCAGGCGCGGGGCCGGGAAGCGCGCAGTGCCCTCTGCCTCCCGCGTGCGGCTCCCGTACCCCCACCCCCGGCCGCAGATCTGACTTTTATCCCTGCGCCTCCGCCTGGGTAAGTCTGGCCCTTCGAAGGCCTCCTGGAAACGCACCGGTGGACCCAGACCTGGGCGGGAGACCCGGGGCGGACCGCGCACACCAGGCCACCACCCGTGCCAGGCGCTGGGGGAACAATGATGAATGGTTCTCTGTCCACCGTGTCCCTCCCTCCCCCTCGCCCGGCCCTCCCCCCCTCTGCTGGAGTGGGTTCGCAGCCCTCCCCCAACCCAAGAAAGAAGGCGCAGCAAGTGCAGCACCCAAACCCCACCACGTACGTCCGAAGCTTCGGGGCCCAGCTCGGTGGGGCTTAAAGCTGGAGAAGTTGCCCTATGCCCCCCATAAATCAGAGCTGTGGGGGGTCCCTGCAGTAACCAGGAGCCGGAGCGGGTGGGAGGAAGCCACTCCCGAGCCACCTGGCCTGCCGTCTGTGCCAGGACGCTTCGCCGTCGGGGTCGCTGATGGCAGATGTGAAGAGTTTTATGAAGCATGCACGTTTTCGTCCACGGAAAGCATCTAAAAAGGGAGGGACACCTGTCAAGTTTCGCGCCTTTTTCTGGCGAGAAGTCCCTCCTGGGGATTCCCAAGGCGGAGCTGGGCTCCGCAGAGGCGAAGCACCAACTGGTATTGAGGGACGAGGTTACCCCTCTCCAGCAGCTCCTGACCAGCACTTCAAGTTGAAAGGTTGTATGTTGGCTTTTGCCCGGCCCCTCCCAGCTTAGACCTCTTTCGTCTCCGCTTGGGTCCTGATCAATATCCATGCTGATCTTTGCTTTATGTCAAAATGAGCAGTACGGGAACCGTTTCCTACACGAAGTGGCCGCTGAAATGGAGCAGCCACAAAGATCCTTGAAGGGCTGAGCAGAAGTCCCTGCTATCTTTTTCCTGGTGAGACTCCTTCCGGGGACATTTGTCCTTGAACGGTGGTATCACCTCCAATTGGGCCCTGAATTCTAGAGACCTGTACCCTAAGTACAGACAAACCTAAGTGGGCAAGTTACCCCAGGAAAAGTGACTGCCTCTGGGCAACACTGGGAATCCGGAGAACTGAGCAACTGGGAGCTGGGGTGGAGTGCTTGCTTGCCTTTGACTAAGACGTTATGAATGATTTAATGTTTTATTGTATGTTCCTCCTATTTAAAAAAAAAAAAAGAGCTGTTTAAATCACACTGGGAAAGCTGATTAGAATTCAGTTTTCCATCCCTCATCTCCCTGAGATTCTGACTCAGTGGGTTTTAAGATGGAAGACGGGAACATTCATTTTAATGAGCTATTTAAGGGATTCTGTGGATGGATGGGTAGACCATGGACCATATTTGGTGGACAGTGATATAGAGGAAAAATCTTGGGCTCTAGGAATCGTGCTCAACCACTCTCTGGCCTTAGGACCTTCAGCCGCTGTGTGAGTTTCCTCTTACTCATCAATGTAATAGAGATAATATGTGCTTTTGATGCTGTAATTAATTGAAATTCATAAAGCACAATTGATACAGTAGATGCTCAGTAAGTGTTCTTTGGTGCTCCATGAAGCATTTAACCAGAGGCCAGAGCAAAAGCTGAGAACAAGGTTGACAAGCTTGGGAAGCAGCCTCAAAAGAGAAAGCTCAACATCAGCTAGGGATGTGTCAGGTATGTTTGTGAATCTCAAGGAGAGAAGCTGACACATAAATAAATCCTTAAGCTGGGTGCCAGTGGCACATGTTTGTAATCCTAGCTACTTCGGAAGCTAAGATCTAAGGATCACAGTTCAAAGCAATGTCCAGGGAAGAAAAGCATGGAAGACTCATATCCAATTAACCAGCAAAAAGCTAGTGGAGCTGTGAGTCAAGTGGTAGAGCACTAGTCTTGAGTTAAAAAAGTAAAGGACAGTATTCAGGCCCTAAGTACAAGCCCCAATACTGGTACACACACACGCACACACACACACACACACACACACACATCCTTAAGAATGATTGGACTTCTGTAACAAATTGCCAAGTTGCTTAAGATGACAGGGCCTAAGTTATGAGTTTTCCCAGAGTAGGTGGAGTCACAGAAAGGCCCGTTTGCACAGAGTCAGAGCAATACGGATGGTATTCAAGGTCAAAGCAAGCAGGGAACCCAATATCCCAAATTGGGAGAGAACAGCTGGTTTTGGAAGAGCTGGGAAGGACATGGAATACGGTTTGGGGGATGCTACAGTGTGGGGGATGTTTTTGTTTCTAGAAACTGGGTATCCTAAGCTGGGTGCTGATGGCTCACACCTGTATACCTTCCTAGCTACTCAGGAGGCTGAAGATCGTCAGTCAAAGCCAACCTGGGCAGTAAACTCTGTAAGACTCTTATCTCCAGCACCAAAATAGTCAGAAATAGAGCTATGGCTCAAAGTGTTAACATACTAGCCTTGAGCAAAAGCAGCTCAGGGACAGTGCCCAAGCTCTGAGTTGCAAGCCCTAGTACTGAAAAAAAAAAAAAGGAAGAAAGGAAAGAAGGAAGGAAGGAGAAAGAAAATGGGTATACTAAGGACAAGGGGATTTTTTTTTTCACGTTTAAAATGCTAGATTCTTTCCCATGGAAATATGGTGACTCTTAAGTCTTAGACAGGAAAATGCAAAGCTTGTCTGGAGAAATGGCTCAAGTGGTAGAACACCAGCTTAGCAAGCAAACCTGCTAAGCTCAAGGCTTCTAAGTTGTTTTTTTTGGTCAAGTTGTGGGGCCTGAACTCTGGGCCTGGGCACTGTCCCTCAGCTCTTCAGCTCAAAGCTAGCGCTCTACCACTTGAGCCACAGAACCACTTCTGGCTTTTTCTGCTTATGTGGTGCTGAGGAATCGAACCCAGGGCCTCATGCATGCAAGGCAAGCGCTCTACCACTGAGCCACCTTCCATCCCCAAGGCCTCTAAGTTTAAAAGTTTAAACCCTAGTACCCAGGAGCGGAGCGGGGTGGGGTGGGGGCAGAGGATGATAAAAATTGCAACTCAGGCCAGTGCTGGTGAAAACATAAGACCCTCTTTAAAAAATAAAGTAAAAAATAGTCAAGTTATGTCTCAAGTGGAACCGCCCCTGCCTAGTAAGTTCGAGGTCCTAAGTTTAACAGTTTGAGCCCTGGTACCAGAAGGAAAAAAATAAAAGGAGGAAGAGGATTGCACCCAGGCCAATCTGGGCTAAAACATAAGACTATATCTGAAAAATAACTAAAGCAAAAAGGGCCAAGTGGTACAGCTGTTGCCTAGCATGCAAAGAGGCCCTGGGTTCAAACACCAATACTGCTTTGAAAAGAAAAAGAAAAAGATTCAAAGGGTAAACAAATGTAGTACCATTGTACTCACTGGACACTATGTTGAAAATGAACAATACAACTTGTGGGTGGGGATGAGAGGGAAAAACTGGGAGAGAATGACTTTGTCCAAAAAGAAATGTACTCATTACCTGAATTATGTAATTATAGCCCTTCTGTACATGATCTTTTAAGAAAAATAGTGACTATGATCATTTGAAGTATCACCTTTATAAAATCCATACATTAGCTGCACAAGTGCCTAAATTTACGAAAGCAAAAACACATATCGTTGGCCACCTTTGAGGTTACTGCAGTACCAATTCATTATTCTGAAATTGATAAAGGGAAATAATTAAATCCGTATGTTTATAGCACAGAAGTAAGTCTGGACTATAAGATACAAAGTGGCCGGGTACTGGTGGCTCACACTTGTAATCCTAGCTACTCAGAAGGCTAGATTTGAGGATTGCCATTCAAAGCCAACGTGGGCAAGGAAGTCCTTAAGACTCTTATCTCCAGCTACCTACTAAAAAAAAAAAAGAAAAATATGTCTGAAGTGGAGCTGTGGCTCGTGTGATAGAGCCACAAAAGCTAAGAGACAGTGCCCAGGCCCTGGTTCAAGCTCTAGGAATGACATACACATGAAAACAACTTCTCTAGATTAACCCCCATGATCAGCCTGTAATCTGTCATAGCATGCATATCCTGGTTTAGAATCCTATTTACTCTTCAAAAAATTTTAGGGTGTTTCTGTATGGTTTTCTTTTTGTTATTTTCTTTTTGTTGTTTGGTTTCATCTGTCTGAGATGCGATTCAAACTTGGTACTTAAAGCATTTGCTCACTGGTTGGCACTCTACTTGTTTACTTTTTGGTGATACTTGGGTTTGAGTCAAGCCCTCCTGCATCTGTGTGTGTGTGTGTGTGTGTGTGTGTGTGTGTGTGTGTGTGTGTGTGTGTGTACATCCCAATAATGGGGCTTGAACTTGAGGCACCTTTTTTGCACAAGGCTGGTGCCCTATCACTTGAGCCACACCTCCACTTCTGGCTTTTGCTAAGTAACTGGAGATAAGCATCTCAGAGCTCAAACTCCTGAATTAGCTAGGACTGTAGGTGTGAGCCACTAACACCTGGCTTATCATTCCAACTCCTTAGAAAAGACTTTTGCTTTGTTTTACCTGGTAGGAGAAATGTCATCCATACTTGTAAAGGAGTAAAGAACAGGCTAGGGTAACAGGTTACAGCAGCATTTCCCACAGCTCCAGATTCTGCGCAAGTCCCTGCTTACATACGCTGACTTGATACAAAAGGATACAGGGAAGTCTGTGTAGGGCAAAAGAATAGGGCTAGGATCCCCCCTAAAGACC